CAACATGGATGGAGCTAGAGGGTATTATGCTCAGTGAAATAAGCCAGGTGGAGAAAGACAAGTACCAAATGATTTCACTCGTATGTGGAGTATAAGAACAAAGAAAAACTGAAGGAACAAAACAGCAGCAGAATCACAGAACCCAAGAATGGACTAACAGTTACCAAAGGGAAGGGGACTGGGGAGGAGGGGTGGGAAGGGAGGGATAAGGGATGGGCATTATGATTACTATGTGTAATGTGGGAGGGGGGCACATGGAGGGCTGTGCAACACAGAGAAGTAGTGATTTTACAGCATCTCACTATGCTGATGGGCAGTGACTGTAATGGGGTTTGTGGGGGGGACTTGGTGAAGAGGGAGTCTAGTAAACATAATGTTCTTCATGTAATTGTAGATTAATGATAACAAAATGAATTTAAAAAATTGGGGAAATGAAAAAAAACAGCACTGCCTTCGTTGTAATCTTAAGGGCTCCAAGATACCAGCAGTGATGTCCAGAGCGATAAATAGCAAAACAAGAGGATATTTATTGCAGCTCTCAGTATGAGACACCATACAACTGGTGTACACGAAGCACTCTGTAGCTACCTGGTAGGAGATGCAAGATGTGTGGGAAACTCAGATCATGTCAGGGGATAGTGGATACTGGAAGAAGCAACATGGGAGTGGAAGTTCATGGGCATATGTGAGGCACCACATGAGATTTTCAAGGACTTCGTGATGATAACTTTGCAAAGGGTCAAAGGTCGTATGTAAGCAAATGGGACAATAATGACTACAGTTTCAAATTATTGTTAATATCACCTCATTTGTAGCAACACTGACAGAATTCATATTACATGATCATTTCACCCCCATTTTCCTTCTTGTCTATTTACTTGGCTAAGTCTTACTCTTGGATCAATCTAACAAATGTCTAATGTCTACTCCTCAGTGGTGGCCATTGAGAACTTTTGGAGAAAAATGTTGAGGAGGCGTAATCTTTCATGTTTAATAGCACTTGTTTGTTCCTATCACTCTTCTGTTAACCTTCTCTTTGGGTTCTTTGGTTGCCTTGGAAAAAAGATTTGATGTAGCCATGCATCCACCATTTTCCCCTTATGTTCTGTGAGTTACCTTATTTACAGTCCTCTATAGTGATAAAGAACAAGGAACTCTTTTCCTCAGATGTTATATAATATTTATGGGATTTTTTTTACAAGAAATTAGGGGACAAAGGGGGTCATACTGGGTGAGTAACAGGAAATTGATCCATGAACACAGTGGAATAGGCCATTTACTTGTATTCAGATTGGTCATTATCTAGTTTGAGCCTGATTCAGTTTGAGGAGCTTGTTTTATTCTTTTGACAACTTCTTTCCACTTATTTTAAACCTTGTTTTGCAGATAAAATGCTTTGTTTTATTGGACCTCAGACAAAACCCTTCATTTTTAGATCAAGAATGAATTATGTTTAAAGCCATGTGAACCCCAGATTATTTGATTGCTGCTCCTGAAATCTGCCCTATTCTCCATCATTCCCTTAGTATTGCTCTTCAAAGTAGCCCTGTGGCATAGCTAGAGTCGGGGTTATTACTATCCAGCTTTTATAAAGCATGAAAATGAGATTGAGGTTGTTGAATAGACTTGCCATAGGGCTTACAACTAGTCACAGGCAGATACACGCTTAAAATATATAATGTATTTCCTGTCATATCTTCATGTTTTTATGAACTTGAAATGGGTTTTGAAATTTATATCTACACTAATGTTTTTCATGATAATCTGTTATTAAATCAATGGTTTGTATCATAATTCAATGAAGAAAATAAAGAAATCACTGACTAATTGTGGGGATGAAGAGTTGGTCTGACCTAGGTTTCCAAATCCTGAAAGTATGCAAGTTCCTCAAGTCTCCTTGTTTATAATTTAAGAGTTGGGGAGCGATTGGCTGAGAGCCAGTTCTAGAAGAGAAATACTCATGTGTATTAGAAGAACAAATGAGTGAGTCTTGAAAAAGGGATAAAACATACACTGGAGAGTCAGGCAGAAGGGAATGGGCGAGTGCGAAGGCCACAAGGAGAAACCAGCAATTCCCAGACATGGGGCAGGTGACCCATGCAGGAGAGTGGCAGGACAGGCGTACTGAGAGAGAAACTTGTAGCCGTCTGACATTGTTCGGTCTGTCTGACTGCAGACGGTATGGAAGCATATGTCGAAGTGGACAGCTGCCCAGAGGAGCCCCAAGTACGGATGAAAAATAGGGAAGAAGAGGAAGCTTACGACGATCTGTACGACTCTGACATGGATGTAGTCAGCTTTGTTGATGACAGTTCTCCCTTTATCCAAATCCGCTCAGTTGCCAAGAGGCATCCTAAAACTTGGGTGCACTATATTGCTGCTGAAGAGGAGGACTGGGACTATGCACCCTCTGTCCTTACCTCCAATGACAGGTAAGTACTTTTGGACTCTTGATACTATCCCTTTCCCATATACAAAAGGTTCTGCCTAGCTGTTCAAAACCACACATCCTCAAGCCATGTTAAGAGTTGGATACAGGTATGGAATCAATGGTGAGGGCATTAATAAAGCCCTCACCAACGCAGCTAGGCATCGAAGTGCTGGGATTTTTGTCACTCCTTTCACTGATTAAATCATATAAGGGTTTTAGATTTGGATTTTAGCCACCTCTCCTCCACCTACAATTCTCCATCTCAATCTCTCGTCTATTTGTGTCTCATACAGAAGTTATAAAAGTCTCTATTTGAACAATGGTCCTGGGAAGATCGGTAGGAAGTACAAAAAAGTCCGATTTATGGCATACACAGACGAAACTTTTAAGACTCGTGAAGCTATTCAGTATGAATCAGGAATCCTGGGGCCTTTACTTTATGGAGAAGTTGGAGACACACTGTTGGTAAGTTGAGGAAAAGATATAAGGTTGGGTAAGAACATAAGGTCTGGAGGATTTTGAGTATTTAAAAACTTCATAATTCAGCCTTGTCTCCAATGGGCATGATCTTCCAAAAACTATAAATGTTGCACAAATAAATGTGGATTATAAACTTGTTTCAAAATATAAGTACATAGAATACAAATTTAATTCCAGTCATTAAGGCTGCCATTCTTTTGAAACACTCTTTGCTTAGATTTTTATCCCTATCCATTAATTACATAATACAGGATTCAGCCAAAGTTGGTTCATAGTATGTTTTTGGACAGCCTGTGAACTTATAAGGATTTCACATTTTAAAAGAGTTTAAACGTTTTGTAAAGTAAAGAAGAAGGAGAAGAAAGAGAAGGAGGAGAAGAAGGAGAAGGAAGAGATGCAGAAGAGAATAACAAAGAAGAGACAGACAGATATGGCTCACAAATCCTAAGGCCAAACTTACTATCCAGTTCTGTCCAGAAGATGTTTGCTGATCCCTGATATAGGGTATTAAGAATGCTTATGGTGCAAAGAACAGAATACTCAATAAACAGTGGTTTTAAAAAATAGGGCTTTTTCAACAGTAAATTTGGAGACAGACGGTTGCTTGCATTGACTCAGCTGCTCAAGAATGTCATGAAGGATGCTGATTATTACACGGGGAGTGCTGAGAACACCATACACTTGTTACCCAATGCCAGAGGGGGACTCCAACTCTGTGGAGGACAGCAAAGATCATCACTGTGCCAGCCACCGGGAACAGAAGTCCAAACACATCTGCCCATTGAATCTTGGCATTGGAGTCACCAAGGAAAATACAAGGCTGTCAAGTCCTGGATGGAGCAATGCTTTCATCCACATAGAGAACAGACAGCAAGATCAACTCCAAGAGTGTGCATGGGTCAGTCGCTCATGGCTGGCGGGTCTCCCCCTCCAGCCAATGCAGGGCAATTGACCCACACGCACTCTTCTGTGCTGCAGCACAAGGATCCCAACCCCTCCATCATGGAGTCTGAAATACCGAAAGGTGAAGGCATGCCAGAGGGCCACTGATGCCCGAGCTTAAGCAGAACAAAGGAGCACCCACTGAGACTGAAGCAGGAAAAGGTGGGAAGCCTGACTCAGGCAATGTGAGTCCTTATCTCTTGGAAAGGAGGTGTTTCAAGCCCAAGGCCCATTCTTCTGTGGCCAGGTGGGGTCTGAAAGACTGCACAGGAGACTGCCTTTTCCAACACAGAGTTTTGTTAGATATTGCCAAACTGACATTGAACAATTCTGTACCAATTTATACCCTCACCCGGAGTGTATGACTACCTTTTTCCCCACATCATTGACAACATATATTAAACTTTCATAAAAATTTCCAGTGTAATGAGCAAAAGATGTACATATTGTCTTCATCTGCATTTCCTTGGTTAGTAATGAAGTTGCATATTGTCTCACATTTGTTAACTACTCATATGACACTTGCTGTGAATTGCCTGCTTATCAATTTTGTCCAGTTTTCTATTAGGATGGTCATCTTTTGCTTTTATATTTGTAAAAGGCTTTATGCATTATGCCACTTGTACTTTACCTCCTTATGGTATCTTTTGTTCTACAAAGATTTTCAGTATAGTCAAGATCTTTTATCAATCTTTTTATTTATTATATTTTTCTGGATATTTTTCATTTATGTTTTCTGCCAAGAAATATCTTCACCACACCCAAGAGATTATAAAAATAGTCTACTATATTTTATTCTTTTACTTTTATACTTTTATTTTTACAATAAGCATTTTAATTGCTCTAGAAGTTACTTTTGGGTATAGCACAGTGTCAAATAGAGATTTCTCCAAATGTCAGCTAATTGGCCCAATCAACCCTTTCTTCACTAATTTAAAAATGCATCCTCTATCATATGGTGAATTGCTAAAACCTATTCCCCTTAATCTGTTACCATGCTGGTTTAATAACTGCAAACTTATAATATGTTTTGATATCTGCAGGGCAATTCTTCCCTCATTTTACTTCATAAAAATTTCAACTAGCTATTCTTGTGTAATTTTTCTTCATAAATTTTATTTACCTATTTTTTAATTATCCAGTAAAAATAATTCAAAAGGCAAAAAAATACAGAGTAAAATGCAAATTTTCCTCTCTTCCAGACTTTCAAGCCCATAGGCTGACAGGCAACCATTGCTGCAGAATTTTTACATTCCTGCCTAGAAATAATATATGTACATACACAAGTGTTAAGTGTATGCATTTTATACAAAGACTGGAGCACTATGTAAATTATTCTGTACCTTGATTTTTAAAAATTTAACAACATATCTTGGATACTATTTAATATCAAGATATATAGATTTACCTCATTCTTTGATTTATGTAAGTTATGCCCTGGACACCTTGCTGAATCCTATTAGGCTTTTCTATTACTGTAAGAATTTGAGAGTTATTTTTTCCTTTCTACATGGAAATTTTCAAACATACCCAGAAGTAGAGAGAATAGTGAAATAAACCTCTTTGTACCCATCACTCAGCTTTAACAATTATTGACAAATGGCTAATCTCATTTCATCCATAAACCAACTAGGCTGAACAGACATGGTCCATCCGGCTCCAGTAATACACGTTCTCCAGGATAGACCAGACATTAGGCTACAAAACAACTCTCAAAATTATATATATATTTGAATATAGATGCAAAAATCCTCCACAACACATTAGTAAACCAAATACAACATTTAAAAAAATTACACACAATAGTTAAGTGACATTTATCCCAGAAATGCAAGGGTAGTTCAACATATGAAAATTAATGCAACATACCATATTAACTGAATAAAGAACAAAAGGCACATGATCATATAATAGGTGGAGAAAAAGGGTTTGTCAAAATCTATTACCCATTCATGATAGAGAGAACTGTCAATGAACTAACAACAGAAGGCAAGGTCCTTAACTTGATGAAGAACATCTAAGAAAAAGTTATAAATGGTGAAAGACTGAATGTTTCTCACTGAAACTGAGAGCAAGTTAAGAGGTCCACTCTTGTCACTTCTATTTAATATTATACTAGAAGTCAGTGCAATAAGACAAAAGAAAAGGAATTAGAGGCATCTGGATTGGAAAGGAAAAATAATATTGTCTTTATTTGAAGATGATATGGTCTTATATATAGAAAATCCTAAGGAATTCTTTAAAATGCCACTAGAAGTGATAAAAAACTTCAGCAAGGTTGTAAGATACATGATCAATATTAAAAAATAAGTTGTATTTCTATATACAAGCAATGAATAATCTGCAAATGCAATTAAGAAAATTCATTCACTATAACATCAAAAAAGAATAAAATCATTTGGTATAAATTTCACAAAAATAGGTGCAAGACTTGTACACTACAAACTATGAGTTTCTATGAGTCATTGCTGAGAAAATATAAAGATCTAAATAAATGGAAAGATATATTATGTTCTTGGATTGGAAGAGTCAATTACCATCAAGACTCTTCCAAATATTTCTATAGATTCAGTTCAATCCTTATCAAAATCCCAACTGCCTTTTTTGCAGAAATTGGCAAGGTGACCTTAAAATACAGTTGGAATTTACAAGGACCCCTAATAAAAGAATCTTAAGAAAAAGGAACAAAGTTGGAGGAGTCACACTTTTCAATTTCACAACCTACCACAAAACTACAGTAATCAAGAGTGTGATACTGGCATAAGGATAGGTATACAGATCAGAGGAATACAGCTGAGAGTCTGGAAATAAACCTACATACCTGTGGTCACATGACCTTTCACAAGAGCCCCCAAGACCAATCAATGGGAAAGAATAGTATTTTTTTCTTTTTTCTTTTGTTATCATTAATCTACAATTACATGAAGAACATTATGTTTATTAGGGTCCCTTCACCAAGTCCCCCCCACAAACCCCATTACAGTCACTGTCTATCAGCATAGTAAGATGCTGTGGAATCACTACTTATCTTCTCTGTGTTGCGCAGCCCTCCCCGTGCCCCCACCACATTATACATGCTAATCGTAATACCCCCTTTCTTCTTCCCCACCCTTATCCCTCCTTTCCCTCCCATTCTCCCCAGTCCCTTTCCCATTGGTAACTGTTAGTCCATTCGTGGGTTCTGTGATTCTGCTGCTGTTTTGTTCCTTCAGTTTTTCTTTGTTCTTATACTCCACATGTGAGTGAAATCATTTGGTACTTGTCTTTCTCCGCTTGGCTTATTTCACTGAGCATAATACCCTCTAGCTCCATCCATGTTGTTGCAAATGGTAGGATTTGTTTTCTTCTTATGGCTGAATAGTATTCTGTTCTGTATATTTACCACCTCTTCTTTATCCATTCAATGGACACTTAGGTTGCTTCCATTTCTTGGCTATTGTAAGTAGTGCTGTGATAAAAATAGGGGTGCATCTGTCTTTTTCAAACTGGGCTGCTGCATTCTTAGGGTAAATTCCTAGCAGTGGAATTCCTGGGTGATATGGTATTTCTATTTTCAGCATTTTGAGGAACCTCCATACTGCTTTCCACAATGGTTGAACTAATTTACATTCCCACCAGCAGTGTAGGAAGGTTCCCCTTTCTCCACAACCTCACCAACATTTGTTGTTGTTTGTCTTTTGGCTGGTAGCCATCCTTAGTGCTGTGAGGTGATATCTCATTATGGTTTTAATTTGCATTTCTCTGACGATTAGCAATGTGGAGCATCTTTTCATGTGTCTGTTGTTGGCCATCTGAATTTCTTCTTTGGAGAACTGTCTGTTCAACTCCTCTGCCCATTTTTTAATTGGATTATTTGTTTTTTGTTTGTTGAGATATGTGAGCTTTTTATATATTTTGGATGTCAAGCCTTTGTCAGATCTGTCTTTGTGAATATATTCTCCCATACTGTAGGGTACCTTTTTGTTTTATTGATGGTGTCCTTTGCTGTACAGAAGCTTTTCAGCTTGATATAGTCCCACTTTTTCATTTTTGCTTTTGTTTCCCTTGCCCGTGGAGATAAGTTCGTGAAAAAGTTGTTCATGTTTATATTCAAGAGAGTTTTGCCTATGTTTTCTTCTGAGAGTTCTATGGTTTCATGACTTACATTCAGGTCTTTGATCCATTTTGAGTTTACTTTTGTGTATGGGGTTAGACAATAATCCAGTTTCATAGAGCTGTCCAATTTTGCCAACACCAGCTGTTGAAGAGGCTGTCATTTCCCCACTGTATATCCATGGCTCCTTTATTGTATATTAATTGACCATATGTGCTTGGTTTAATATCTGGACTCTCTATCTGTCCCACTGGTCTATGAGTCCATTTTTGTGCCAGTACCAAATTGTCTTGATACCTGTCTGAACAATTTTATGAGAAGAATATTTTTAGCTTTATCTAAAGTCAACCCCCTATAATGTGTATACCAGATAGCTTTTGTTTTCTGGTGGTAGGCAACATTTTCTTGTTGATCCTCATTGTCTTAAGACTTGATCTGATATCTCATTTATATTTTAGATTATATTTAAGAATCAAGCAAGCAGACCATATAACATCTACCCTCATGGAATCAGTGATGTCAGTCCTTTGCATTCAGGGAGGATGCCAAAAGGTAAGTGCTACCTCAATTTTATAGGTCTTACATGCCTACACATATAGATGAAGTTACAGCCTCAATGACAGCTACAGTTATGCTGGTTCTTGACCCAGCTCTTAGGTACTATATAGGTACATTTATCATCCCACCATCCTTAACACTTGAGCTTCCATATGTGTTACATCTATAGACTTTCAAATATACACAAGAAAATGCTAGAATTTGCTTTAAATTATGAGGAAAACTATTCCTTCATATTTATCTGGTTATTTACCATTACCCAGCTTTTCGTGCCTTCCTCTGGTATCACTTCCATTCAAATAACTTCCTTTCAGCATTCTCTGCAGAGAAAATGTACTAGAGCTAAATCTTAGTTTTATTTTATTTGAAATGTCTTTATTTTGCCCTCACTTTTGAAGGATAATTTCACTGGTCATGGAATTCTGGATTGAGAGGGGTTTCTTTTGTATTTTGGCCTTTGTCTGGATTTCACAGAATCATTTTTCCCTCTGCCTCTGATTTTCTTCCTATTTATCCCACTTCGGGTTCGCTGATCTTCCTGGATCTGTAAATTTATGCTTTTCACCAAATTTGGAATGATTTTGGTAATTATTTCTTCAAATATTTTTCTACCCTGTTCTCTGTCTCCTTTCCTAGGCTTCTGATGGCATGAATGTTTGACCTTTTGTTAATGCCCTGCATGCCTTAATGTTTTGATCATATTTTTTCTATGCTCTCTCCATCTCTTCTTCAGGTTGCATAGTTTCTATTGATTTAAATTCAAGTTCACTGACCTCAAACTGGACTTTCTGATTCACAGTATATGTATTTCTATTTTTAATGGATAGCTAGATCTTTGTCCTCAAATGAAGTACTAAATTGCACCCCTAGTACTCATATATAAAATGTAATTTCTTATATCCGTGATAGCTAGATAATAATAGTTTTTCAAAATCCTGCCAATCTGGTGGTTGAAAAGTGGCATCTCATTGTTGCTTTAACTCTAATTTCTTTAATATCTTGTCATGTTCACCACCTTTTCACATTTTTATTGGCCATTTGGGTTTCCTCTACTGTGAATTTCCTGTTTCTTTCTCCTTTCATGATTTTTCTGCTGGGTTGTTTACCCTTATTTATCTATCATCCATTTTTTATCTTCTTAGTGTATTTAATTAAAAGCATTTTTTCCTAGTAAACGCATTTAAGGTCATATTTTTTTCTCTGAATATAGTTTTTGGCCACATTCCATACTTTTGATGTCTAGTAATCTCTTTACCTTTAATTGCAGAATAATTCACAGCTTCAGTTTTTACTTGGTATATTGTTTGTTGTTAAATGATTCAGGGCATATCTTTTTCATGGATTGTACCATTTTTTATCAATACAAATATTCTTCTTGGTTCTCTTTTATGCTCCTTAACTTGAATTCTATTTTGCTAATTTTAGTATTGCCACATGTGCTTAACTAGTTTATCTTTTCCATGCTATTATTTTCCCATATTTTCGTTTATTTTGTGTTAGAGCTGGCCCATGTAAACAACATATGTCTGGGCTATGTTTTCTTATCCAATATCCACCTTTCAATAGGGGATCTCAGCCTTGTCACATTTGTGTTACTACTGATATGTTTGTATATATTCCACTAATTTTGCATTTTCATTTACAATTAATCTGTTATTCCTTTTATCAGTAGCTTTATTAATTACATATTTTTCCTTTTAGTTGATTGGATTTTATATGTATTCTTTCTATTCTTTAACTTTGGATATTTTTATTTTATCCAAAAAGTACATGCTTAAGACTTCAGAAGGCTGTAAGTCCCATATCTTGCCAATGGGTTTCAGCACTGGGCAAGTTCACTATGGATTCAGTGTGACCAAAGAAATTGACAGCAAAACGTTCTTTGGGGTGAAAAGGTTTATTACCCGGCTTGTTCTCCCAGCGGTAGGTCGAGCACTAGCGTCTCTGCCTCCGCCCAGAGCACTGGGCCGACTCTCTATATAGCACAATAATAGCTTATTGCCTAAAGGTGTGGAAGTGTAGCCTAGCAACAGGCCAGTTACATCATTATGTAGTTTAAGTTCAGTGAGGATCCTGGCCATAGGAACCCCAACTTCCCCACATCCCACTCCCTAGAGGAGTCCATTTTTAAGCATTTCTGTTTTAGATTTTTGGTGATTACCTGTATATCTCAAAATAATTTCATGCTTGAAAACTGCAAGACACTCATGAGAGAAATTAAAGAAGATATCAATAAATGGAAACACATCCCATGCTCATGAATAGGAAGAATTAATATTGTCAAAATGGCCATCCTGCCTAAAGCAATCTACAGATTCAATGCAATCCCTATCAAAATACCAACAGCATTCTTCAATGAACTAGAGAAAATAGTTCTAAAATTCATATGGAACCACAAAAGACCCCAAATAGCCAAAAGCAATCCTGAGAAGGAAGAACAAAGCTGGGGGGATTATACTCCCTGACTTCAAGCTCTGCTACAAAGCCACAGTAATCAAGACAATTTGGTACTGGCACAACAGACCCATAGACCAGTGGAACAGACTAGAGAGCCCAGATATTAACCCAAGCATATATGGTCAATTAATATATGACAAAGGAGCCATGGACATACAATGGGGAAATGACAGCCTCTTCAACAGCTGGTGTTGGCAAAAATGGACAGCTACATGTAAGAGAATGAAACTGGATCACTGTCTAACTCCATACACAAAAGTAAACTCAAAATGGATCAAAGACATGAATGTAAGTCATGAAGCCATAAAACTCCTAGAAGAAAACACAGGCAAAACTCTCTTGGACATAAACATGAGCAAATCCTTCATGAACATATCTCCCTGGGTCAGGTAAACAAAATAAAAAATGACCAAGTGGGACTACATCAAACTAAAAAGCTTCTGTACAGCAAAGGACACCATCAACAGAACAAAAAGGCATCCTACAGTATGGGAGAATATATTCATAAGTGACATATCCGATAAAGTGTTGACATCCAAAATATATAAAGAACTCAACAAACAAAAAGCAAATAAGCCAATTAAAAAATGGGGAGGAGCTGAACAGACAGTTCTCCAAAGAAGAAATTCAGATGGCCAACAGGCACATGAAAAGACACTCCACATTGCTAATCATCAGAGAAATGCAAATTAAAATCACAGTGAGATATCACCTCACACCAGTAAGGATGGCCAACATCGAAAAGACTAGGAACAACAAATGCTGGTGAGGATGCGGAGAAAGGGGTACCCTCCTTCACTGCTGGTGGGAATGTAAGGTAGTTCAACCATTGGGGAAAGCAATATGGAGGTTCCTCAAAAAACTAAAAATAGAAATGCCATTTCACCCAGGAATCCCACACCTTGGAATTTACCCAAAGAATACAACTTCTCAGATTCAAAAAGACATATGCACCCCTGTGTTTATCAATGCACTTTTTACAATAGCCAAGATATGGAAGCAACCTAAGTGTCCATTGAATGGATAAAGAAGAGGTGGTACATATACAGAACGGAATACTATTCAGCCATGAGAAAGAAACAAATCTTACCATTTGCAACAAGATGGGTGGAGCTTGAGGACATTATACTCAGTGAAATAAGCCAGGCAGAGAAAGACAAGTGCCAAAAGATTTCACTCATTTGTGGAGTATAACAATGGGCAGAGTTGTGGGCTGTGTGGCTTGTGATCAGCCAGGAGCCCTCCCCTATAGTTGTCTGCACTGACAGTTGGGCTGTCTATCGGGGATTGACCCTGTGGCTACCAACCTGGTACCATGCCAACTGGCATTTTCTTCCTGTAGGTTCCCCAACCATAGGCCAGGCTTAGCTTAGTAGGGATGAAGGAGAGCTTAGAATGGTCTTATAAAGCTGAAATTTTGACTTAACCTGGATCTTCAGGTATCAAACAAACCCAAAATTGAGTTTTAATTACCAAAATCAGACAGTTCTTGTCTTGGGGACCTGTTAGCCTGAAGGCAAGTCTCAATTCTTGCTCCCTTTCCTCCCAGGGGTCAGATACGACACCTCTTGATACCATATGTAAGTTAAAACTTCAGTGTGTGGTCCTTTGGCATATATTCACATGTGAAATCCTCATAGTCAACTGGACTATCAACTGTAGCTTACCACTCTGGCTTTGATGTCTCTATTTTTTTAAGCCCTTTGGATTTTATTTTTCTTTATATATTTTCAGCTACGTATTTTAAATGTTCAAAAAGCACTATTAGTTATTTTTTCTGTGTATTTGTAATAGTGGGTAGACCTGCCCATTTCAACTCAAACTAACATGCTAGCAAAAATCCCCTGGACCCATTTTTATTATAAAATAATTAGGTATTAAACTTACAATAAATGCAAATTTAATTTCCATTTATTGAGAAATTTCATACACACATAAAGATTTGTAGAGCCCTTCAAAAACAAAAAGATTACCGATATGTGGCTTATTACACTCTAATTGAGCTATTTTGGGGTTTGGGTGTGGGCAGGTGTGAAACATTTGAAAGACATGCCAATTCTACCAGGAGAGATATTCAAATATAAATGGACAGTGACTGTAGAAGATGGGCCAACTAAATCAGATCCTCGATGCCTAACCCGATACTACTCAAGCTTCTTTAATCCAGAGAGAGATTTAGCTTCTGGACTCATTGGCCCTCTCCTCATCTGCTACAAAGAATCTGTAGATCAAAGAGGAAACCAGGTGAGTTCTTTTCCCAAGTGCTGGGTTTGAAGCTAAACATGAAATGATGATGCATATGAACTTCCAGGTAACATTTCCCACACCCATTCAGTGTATGTCCCCCTACAGTCTGCGGAAAATACAGTAGTCTGCAATATTGACCAATAAAAGAAATGAGCTGGGCTTCCCACAGCTATTATTGAATTTGGGTTTGGTGCAATGAAATTGCCTGCTGCATGGATAGAGAGCCTAAGCCCTATATTCCTCTACAATTATGCTCTCTGTAGGTGATTTGCCTATTTTTAGATCCTCAATTATCACCTATTTTTAGATGACCCACAAATTTATATCACAGCCTAGACTCGTCCCTTGCACGTCTCATCCTGGGTAACTCAAAGATACCTCAAAATTAACATATTTGCAGCATCTAGCAGATTGCACAGTATTTAGCAGGAGTAAAAATAAATATCTGTTCAGCAAAATATAGGTGAAAATATAAACTGTTTCAGAATATCGTTAGAATTTGGAGCAATTTTGCTGCTTTAAAAAATAAAGTTAAATTCTTTAAATTAGAAAAGCCTGGTTTTTCATAAAAACTCATTGCTTGGCTCCAGAATAATTCATTGCCATATTGCTGAGGCTTGACTACATGTCCATTTGGTTATTAATGATACATAGGATTCCTACTAGTCTGAAAATATTTCACTGGTTTAGAGAATAAAGCCTATGAACATTAGTACAGGTAAAACATGTAGCACACAAACCCAGAGAGGAAGAAATTTCCCTAAGTACCTCTCCTGGGGAATTTTTCTGAATTACAGTTTTTCCCCCAGTTTTGGGGGTGAGCACTGAAACGTACCTCTGTATTCTCCAATCTCCTCCCCTTAGCAGTTTGGTTTCTGTAGTGAAAGGTTATGCAAAATGTAGTTTAAACATACTAGTGAAGTTTACACATTAAATCTTAGCAGATTCAATTAGCAAGTGACTAACTGGTTCATATACAATCTGCTCTTCTGAAAAAAATTTTAATCTTTTGAAACAAAACTTAAGGTATTAGTGTTAGTTAATATTTTGTGGTTCATCTTAGCTTTGTTCTTTGATTTCTGTTTTCTGTTTTTAATTTTTAATCTTACTCGACTAAGTTGTTTAAGAAAGACACTGAATAATCCCTTGGGTCTTTGAAGGCTGAAAACCCTCTAATTTGGTCATGGAGAGAATGAGGCTCCAGACTACCAAATTATCAGCCAGCATACGGCCTTGGGTCCAGAATAAACCAAGTTTAATGGGTTTGTCCCCCCTCGTGCCCTGAGGACACATTTGCTGTAAACATACGCTCATTGCTCCCAGCACCCACTCCCACTTGCAGGCCCTAGTGTGTGCCATAATAGTGACCCTAGGGAGAAATGGAACTGAACCTAAGAAAGGATTATAGACATATCACCTACATCATAGACTGCTAATTCCTCCCTGACAAAGCTAGTAGCATTTTTTCTTTCTTTCAATGTGTGTAATTAACAGATGATGTCAGACAAGAGAAATGTCATTCTGTTTTCTGTATTTGATGAGAATCAAAGCTGGTACCTCACAGAGAATATGCAGCGCTTCCTCCCCAATGCAGATGGAGTGCAACCCCAGGACCCGGAGTTCCAAGTCTCCAACATTATGCACAGTAAGTAAAGCAGCACTCGAGTCCAGTGGATAATGGATGAAGGGAAACTGAAGTCACTAAATTGATGTCCAGATAATAGATTACTTTACATGCCCTGTAAGAGTTGTATTTCATTAAAAAGTGTTACATATTAACATATACAATATTAGATAGATGCATAAATCTGATCATAGAATGCATATTTTTTCTTTTAGAAGACATTAAATATTCCAAGAACTTTATTTTTAAAGGATAAATCAAATAAGACACAGCCTTCCTTTACCTAAACATGCATAATCCATCGTTAATATAAAATGTACTCAATTGGCATATTACACATGAAATCCAAAGGGAACACAATTTTACGTATGTAAAATGATTGCCCTCTAGAGCCATCTAACAGTTAAATTAGTGAGGACAGTGTACATGTTTTTCAAAACCCCAATTTTTTTCTAGCTTTATTGAGGTATAATTAACAATTAAAAATTGTACGTTTAAGGTGTACAATGTGGTCCTCACATGGTCTTTCCTCTATGTGTGTGCATGTCTGTGTACAAATTTCCTCTTCTGAAGAAGACTTCAGTCATACAGGGTTAGGGCCCACCCTAATGACATCATGTTAATGAATGACCTGTTTAAAGATCCTGTCTCTCAGTGCAGTCATGTTCTAAGGTACCAGGGTTAGAACTTCAACATATGAATTTGGCTGGAAGCACAATTCAGCCAATAACATACATATGTATGTGTATGTGTTTTATATACACACACAAATTTAAATGGTCAAAAATGAGACAAAAATGTTTCAGTCTCACTGCAGGAAAGAGCAAAATGGAATAGCAATGCAATATCAGACTGGCCAAGTTATATGACAAACACTATTAATGAGCTTGTGAGTAAAAGGATATTCTCATACAATGCTAGTGGATAACTAGTACAGTCTTTTTGAAACTAATCTGATTGAAATCATTAAAATAAAAAATATATGCCTTTTGGACTTTTGGTTCTGGTTCCGATAGAATACCCATGTGTCACTGAATGTGATTAAAAATCCCTAACAGATTGCATGGAGCAGCAGGTAAATTGTGGAAACAAACTAGAAAGATTTAAAGTCATGCAGATTGGAAGTGAAGAACTAAAACTAAATATGACATGATTATCTGCATAGAAAATCTCAAGAATTCTACAAAATGTTACTAGAACTAATAACAGAGTTTACTCTGATTGCAAAATACAAGGTCGGCATACAAAAATCAGTCACGTTTCTGTATTCCAACATCAAACTATTGGAAATCTAAATTACAAAAATAATACCATTTCTAATAGCTCAAAAAATGAAATAGTTAGGCATAAAGTCTAAGAAAACATGCAGAATCTGTACACTGAAAATTACACAATACTGATGAAAGAAATTTTAAAAGACCTTAAGTGAGTGGAGAGACATACAATGTTTGGGGATTGGAAGACTCAGTAGAACGAATATGTCAACTATCCCCAAATTGATTATAAATTTAACACAATTCCAATTAAAACTCCAGCAGGAATTTTTGTTAGGAAAAAGCATATAATAAAATTTATATGGGAAGGTAAAGGAACTAGAATAGCCAGAACAATTTTTTTGGTATCATTAATCTACAATTACATGAAGAACATTATGTTTACTAAGCAACCCCCTTCACCAAGTCCCTCCACAAACCCCATTACAGTCACTGTCCATCAGCATAGTAAGATGCTGTAAAATCACTAGTTGTCTTCTCTGTGTTGCACAGCCCTCCCCGTGCCCCCCTACATTATATGTGCTAATCGTAAAGCCCCCTTTCTTTTTCCCCGCCCTTCTCCCTCCCTTCCCACCCATCCTCCCCAGTCCCTTTCCATTTGGTAACTGTTAGTCCATTCTTGGGTTCTGTGATTCTGCTGCTGTTTTGTTCCTTCAGTTTTTTTTTCTTATACTCCACATATGAGTGAAATCATTTGGTACTTGTCTTTCTCCGCCTGACTTATTTCACTGAGCATAATACCCTCTAGCTCCATCCATGTTGTTGCAAATGGTAGGATTTGTTTTCTTCTTATGGCTGAATAGTATTCTGTTCTGTATATGTACCACCTCTTCTTTATCCATTCTTCTACTGATGGACACTTAGGTTGCTTCCATTTCTTGGCTACTGTAAATAGTGCTGGGATAAACATAGGGGTGCATCTGTCTTTTTCAAACTGGGCTACTGCATTCTTAGGGTAAATTCCTAGCAGTGGAATTCCTGGGTGATATGGTATTTCTATTTTGAGCATTTTGAGGAACCTCCATACTGCTTTCCACAATGGTTGAACTAATTTACATTCCCACCAGCAGTGTAGGAGGGTTCCCC